CATTTCAACCCCCAATAAAACATTTATATCTTTTCGTTGGACAGCACCAGAAATCCTAATGGTGTTATCATTCAATATAATTTAACCGTTACTAATCTGGATACAGCAAGCACTACAGTCTATATTATTAATGTTACAGATAGTAATGAGATTATTGAGAGTCTCATTATTGGTTTCAGTCCATATCAGAATTATACTGCTAGTGTTAGTGCTAGTACAATCATTGGAGCTGGACCAGTGGCTACTACTGCAGGAAGAACACTACCAGATGGTTAGTATTGTATTATTGACTGATAGTTTTTAATTTATCAATTCCATTATTAGTATCGTCCCCTGTATTACTGGTGACAATACCTGTGATTATATCTGGTGTATATATTACAGAGTCAGTGCCAAGCATTAGTGATACAGCTGTTAATTTAACATGGAGACCTCCACTATACCCCAATGGGCGAATCACTGGTTATAATATCACAAATGACAATAATGGGAGATCATACTGGATACCTATTGCCAGTGTGGAATCAGTTTATTCACGCATTGTTACTGAATTAAGTAAATATGAAAGTGATCATGAGTTTGATTGACGATATCATTTTTTTATAGACATTGGTGTGTTGTATAATTTCACTATAAGAGCATTCAATGAATTAGGAGGAGGAGAATCAGCAAGTGTTTCAGCATTCAGCAAACCAGGTATGCTAGTTTTATCTACATGCACTTGCTTATTTTTTCCTAATATACCAGATACTCTTTTACTGTCTCCTCCTGAGAGAGTAGAGGCTACTCTATCGCATGATAAAACCACTATCACCATTAGCTGGGATAGCAAAACATTTGATGAAGTTGGTGCATTCTTTGCTTACAAAGTGACTGCCACAACCACTTCAACTCGAAAAAGACAGTCAGGCAGCCCCATTGAGATGATAGTACCTTACAATACCACATCAGTGTCATTCACTGGAGTTAATCCTAATCTTATGTACCAGATAACAGCCTCTTATATTACATATAGTCAGAATGGGAGTGAGATGACTGGCCCTCCTAGTAATCCTGTGACACCAGTTAATGCAGTGTCATCAAGCACCAGCTCTATGCAAACGGTCCTCAGTACTACTAGTGTTACTAGTTCACCTACTCTTACTCCTACATTATTTGAAGACACTAAAAATAGTAATTGTATACAGATCCATTTAAACTTATTTTCTTCTTCTTTTTTGTATGTAGGCCCTTATATAATTGGAGCAGCCATTGGTGGATTATTAGTAATATTTATCATCTTGATTATCATAGTACTTCTTGGTACTGTCATGTAAGTAATAAAATTAATGACTATCATATTATAATTTTTAGCATTGCAAAATATACTAATTTCCATGATATTTTGGTATTTAATATTTTTCTGATACATTACATACACAAGTTCTTATGTTGTAATAAAGGTTTAAGCTAATTCTAATCACAATCAAATTTTTTATAAATTTTTAAAGTGGATAAAAATTGGGCTAAAGGCCCTGTAGTGTGCTGAGCCAGATTTTGTTGAAACTAAAGAACAATTTTTTTTTATTTTATAATTTTCTGATCATGTGCATGCAATTACAATTGGATTTTTTATAAAGTTTCTGTACTATAATACAGGGTTTTTATAATATTAAGCCAAAACTGAAAAAAAAGAATTCTCTATTTTTATAATTTTCCTAATACATATAGATGCTGTTATGTTGTGTAGAAAGTTTGAGCTGATTCCAACCAAAATTGGATTTTTTACAAATTTTTAAAGTTGCTCCAGAATCAGGTTAAAAACACTGTACTACATAGTTCAGGGAAATTTTGCCAAATTGAAAAGAAGAAAATTTTTCATTTTGTGATTTTTTCTGATAGTCATTACATGCATGTTGCATAGAAAATTTAAGTCAAATTTTTATGTTTTAAAAGTAGTAATGGTAATAGGGTTGAAATGCTACATTTCCCGCATTTATAGACATAGGAGGAGACACACCACAGGGAAAATGACCTTATCTACAACAAATGACCCAATAATCACATCTAACAATGAAGCATTTGAACTTACTGCCCCTGCTCCACCAAGATATGATGAGCTGACAGATGTAGTAGGAAGATCAGAGCATTTAACTGATGAAGAGATGATTGGTGTACTACTGGAAACTGAGGTATCAATAAGACAAGCACTTAATGCACAACCAGCCCAATTGAATGATGATACACTTGATGAGGATGAAGAGCAAGAGATAGCAGAAGAACCTGTATATGTGAATATTGGTAAGATATTATTTGGTTGTGATACTCTACTTTTGTTATACTATTGCCATATACCACAGGGGATCACAATGAATTCAAGCCCATACATGTCTCAGTGTTTCATTCTCATGTACTGGAGATGCACAGTAATAGTGACCAGGAATTTGATAATGAATTCAAGGTATGAACCTCTTTAAAATATGTTTTATTCATTAATACTCCATGTATAGTCTATCCCTATGACTTCTGGAGCTCCTTACACTGTCGGTAGCTCAGAGGCTAATATTCCAAAGAACAGGTTCCTCAATATATTCCCATGTAAGGAGTACTTCAATAACTTACATAATTTTCACTTTATATATAACAGATGATGCAACACGAGTGGTTCTTACTACTAAAAGAGACTCTGATTATATTAATGCTTGCTTTGTTGATGTAAGTATACCATTATAAAAATTTAATAATGACTCTAAACCAATCATATTTTACCAATAGGGATATGCAAGAAAAAACTGCTACATTGCTGCACAAGGTAATAACCTATATAGCTCTTTGCTTTATTCCTCCATCTTGCATCCATTCATAGGTCCTTTACG